CGAGATGTACAGCCGTACCATCGAGGTGCTCTGCTATAGCTCCGGTGAGGAGAGGGGCGATGGTGACCCGGAGGTCCCTCCCCGTCCCCAGCGTAGGTGTTCCACTGTTACTGCTGTCCATCTGTCTCAATTGACGTAGCTTTAGTGTGTGTGTGGGGGGGGGGGGGGGGGTCTTACGGCCGATTTGGTAGGAATGGTTGACACCGAGTAAATCTCGTTACCCGTATGTGACAGTGCACACATAGTAATGGATTCTCCTTAAAGTTAGTGCTTGGTGAGTTACGTATACGTACTCGTCGTAGGTTTTAAAGCAGCCTCTCCTTGAAGTACATCTGCGCACAACCCTCCAAACCAGCTTCAGTTTGCTGCTTAGTCTTTACGTCTTCCCTTATCCAGCACCTAACCGGGCCCCCTTTCTTTCTACTCCACAGAGGCGATCAACATTTTCCACGCGCCCCAGGAGCCGGGCGGTCAGGTGAACGAGCCAATCCGACTGTCCTACCACCGCGGCACGCACTATAACTCTGTGGTGAACCCGTACAAGGCCACCATTGGAGTCGGCCTGGGTCTGCCCGGCTATGTGCCCGGCCTAGCCGACCATAACCTGCTCACCGACGCCGCCAAGAAGAGCGAGGACCTGCACATTGAACAGGTGAGAAAGGAGCGTGACCGGTGAGAGATAACACAGGCAAATGGTGATTGGGAAGGGATGGATGGAAATGCGTTCGTCATACTGCCGATGCAAGCTGTGTACAGCCCTCTGCAGACTGCGTGGTAGGTATTCTTTTTTTTTCGACAAAACCGAGAATAACGCGAATACTATGCTATCGGGCACTCGGAAATCGTAACAGCAAGATGCGCGAGACTCCGCAGCTTAGATTGGCATTATCATCGTATGCATTTTCCATCCAGTTTGGCAACAAAACCCAAAAGTTTAGATTTGCCACCAAAACGAACTTTTACATTTTGTTGCCGCACAAGGCGTATGCTTTGTTTATTGATAGGCCCTATCGAAGGAGTGGAGCATGGCGCATCTATTTGCAGTGAGTTTCGACCGACTGATAACATGCCTTTTGAATTATTATCAGTTTTGTCGGAAAAAGAATACCTACCACGCAGTCTGCTGAGGGCTGTGCATACTGTTAAGGGTGGCGCGGTGGTGTATGATGACAACATGGAGTGATTTTCCGCGTCCTGCTCATTCATTTATTCATTCATTCATTCATTCATTCATTCATTCATTCATTCATTCATTCATTCATTCATTCAATGCTCGTTTTGGCCATTCATTGACTCTCACGATGTCTCACACAGTTACTGATTGCTGAATGTGTTACAGACGATGCTGGAAGACAAGCTGAAGGCGACGGACTGGGAGGCGACCAATGAGACCATCTCCGAACAGGTGGCCCGGGAGAGCTACCTGCAGTGGCTCAAAGACAACGAGAAACGAAACAAGGTGACTGCCGGGACCTGGTCGATTGGAACAAATTAAACTGGTGTCATTTCCAGGGTTGAAAAGCATAAAGCAAGTGCTGGGAGGCATGTGATCTGAAAGTTAGGCTCGTAGTGATATTGAGCTTACGATTACGGATATAGCCATAAGACGGTTATTTCCGTGATGGAACGGACGTAGAGTAGATTCAAATGCATGTGGTGTTTGTTGCTAAAATTCAGCGCTTGAGTCTAACTTACGGACATATTGTGTTGAACAATGTTTCTCGATCAGTCTTCCGGCCCCCGCCGTATACCAACCATGTAGCACTACAACACACACGCTCAGTTCTTCTGAATTCATCATCCTCTCTGAGCGTCTGTTATATCATAGCTATCGGCCCCGCTGACTGGCCCCGTCCCCCGGCAGACGTCCTGCGCCTCCTCGTCGACGGCCACCTCTGCCGACGTGCGCTCCCCGCGCCCGCTGCCGGCCCGGAGTCCGCCGGCCGGACAGGCCTCCCCCTCGGCCGGGGCGTCGGCCCGCTCTGGCAGCGGCCGCGGCTCCCCGCGAGGCGCCGCCAAGCTGTCCCCCCTGGCGTCGCCGCGGGCGGGTGGCGCGGAGGGCGGCGCAGGATCACCGGCCGCCGGACCGGCCTCTGGTGCGGGCTCCGCGGCCGGCGCCACCTCGGCAGCAGCACAGGTGAGTGCTTACGACTTACGGATGTGAGGAGAGAGGAGGCACACCGAAGGGGAGGGCTAGAACATTGCGGAAAAAGTATTGGATATCTTTTAAAGCTCTTTCGATAGCGTGTCCTCGGATTTGACGTAAAATCAACGGTTTGTTCTCCAGCGGCCAAAACTGTCAAAATGGACGTTTTGAAAATGTACTGTAAATGATTTTTGACACAAAGGTAAGACATTGCCTTTACCAGTTTATCGCGTTTCTCGTGTTATCGTGTACTGTCTCACCGGCGCGATTCACTGACGACTGACGACCTCTGACTCGGTGTCTCGGTGCCCGGCTCGGTGTCTGACCTCTGACTGATCGATTTCGTCCCGTAGGAGCGCGTGGGTTCACCGGTAGCCGCTCCCGGGCCCAGTCGGGACCTGGGCTTCCCGCTGATGGAAACCGCCTCGTTCATGAACCAGCTGCCGCCGGCACTGTTCGGTACGTAGTGTGCCGTGTTTCGGTGGTACACATAATATTCGTATAGTAGGAAATTGGCCGTGTTCGATGCGTACCGTGTCAAAGTATGCCGGCACCGTATGCAAACAAAGTATGCGAAGTTTCAGTTCCAGGTCCGAATTCGTCTACCCTGGATACACCAATCCAAGTATAATTAGAAGCTACGAATAGACTGCCTGATTATTTTTTTTTTTAGAATACCCCAAACTCGCGTCCTTCGTTCGCAGACCGTCGACGCAATGGTCGGCGGCGTCCCTCAGTAATTTTGACCGGTACGCCACACCTTTATTGTTCCAATGCTGACACTACCACCCACAGGCCTCTCCGAGTGGGAGGACGCCGGCATTCTGGCCCAGGTGCTGGCCGCCTCCCAGCAGGAGTACCTCGACAGCCTCAAAAAGAGCAAAGACGAGAATGGCGACCGCAGCGCGGACGGCGCCGGACCTTCAACTTCGAGTTAACGACGCTAGGTGGCAGCACCGGCGCAGCAGCGCCCGGGCAACAGAACGACTGCATTGATTGGGAGAACGTGCAAAACGCATAGAGCAGTATTGTTTCGTCAAGCGCGTGATTCGTGTGTGTTTGGCCGAATCCCTTGTTGTCAAATATTTTAGATGCTGTTCCGTGCAGATTTCCCGAGAATATCCGTTACTTTGTTGCGCACAGACCCGATAAATCGGCGTTACATGGTTTTGTATGGACTTACCCCGTGCTTTACGCTGTACATTTGGTAGGTGCGGCCGCCGGCCGGTCGTACCACCCTCAGAGGATACCAGCGACTGCCTTGCACGTGATTTTGTTTGTGTGTTTGTGTGTGTGCACCGGCACGCAGCGCGGATGGTTTGCCGGTGGGGAGGGGCACGGGGGATGGTCGGGGTCCCGAGGTAGGGGACCCAGATCGGCAGGGCGCTGGTCACAGCCGCAGGGGTGCCGCCCTGTGTACATATCCCCGGCGATAGCGGCCAGCGGCCAGTGACGTCACCCGACACAGCAGGCCTGGCGTGATTGGCCGTCCGCGGCGGGTGTGACGTCATCGATCCGACTGCGCGACGTCACTGTGTGCCTCCCGATCGCCTGGGGTGGCCGCACGTGACGTCATCGAACCCGTAGCCTAAGGTTGATTTGCCGGCCGTCGATCGGCGGGGCGGGGTGGCCGATGAATAAGGGAAAGAGTACTGCGGTTGCCGCTGTAAATCTAGCACGGTACGTCATCAATAAGGGGGATTTTTAGTTGAGTGATTGGCAGAGGGTGAAGTTTATGAGTCTTCTTTTGTACAAATCTGTTTTGAATCCCGGTTTATTTACTGATAGTGCCACACCAGTGATTTCCTGTTGTTCTCTAGTCTGTTTCCCGAGAAAATATGCCAATATATCCGTTGCTTCACTTCTGACGTGCCTTTGCAGCGGGCGTGGAACGTTGATTAGCGCATTAGTTTCACCAATGTGATAGATTCCGGATAAGAAATGACGCTTATATTACCAGCACATGTTTATAACGTGTAGAATGCACCGTGGCGAATGGGAAAGGAGTGCGTGTAACACTGTTCACTTCTGATTGGACCATTGTTGGTTCAGATTCGGACCGTCTATCAATGCGAGCGCCATGATTAGGCCATTCTTCAGTTATGGATAGGCGCTCGGTACAGATCCAATATCTCATCCTACGTGGTTGTCGCAGCGCAGATATGCAATGCCTTCAGCAAGCTGTCTGTAAGGAGCCCAGCGGAGTGCAGGATGGCGAAGCTGTGTCGATGCTGGAGCCTGATGTAGGGGACCGGCCTATCTCCGTTGAACGAAGATACAAAAACTTACGTTGTCAGCCTACTGGATACCTGGATAGTCTAGTCACTATCGATTGGGCGAATGAAGTTCGTTCACCCAATCAATAGGGACTAGACTATCCATCCAGTATCCAGGCATCCAGTAGGCTGACACGTTAATTGTATGAGTTTCTTAGGAGGAAAGCATTGCAAAGTCGTGCCTTCATCATTTGGTACACTGCCTGATTCTGGTGTGGGACGCACCCTCCCAGCACCCATCCAAAAGGACAGCGTTATAAACGAGCAGAAGGCGGATTCCTCATGCTATCTGATGATTCGGTAAATGAGACTTCAGCGGTTTTCCAAGGTCCATCGCAGGGCAGCGTCAAAATCTTCCTGTAATCTGTATTCCTGCAGAGGCACGGGCTGCGCACGGTCATAGATACTAGGGCTGCGGCCTGCGGTAGGGCCTTGGGCTGCGGAAATTGGTCTTCCCACCGCAAGAGCTTACGGTCTTTTTAGCTGCAACCTCTCAAAACAGCTGATCGGCCGAGCTCGCCTTGTGATTGGTCGACTCTCTATGACGTCACGGGACATTGACGCGTCGCCATTTTCCAAGCCGAGCTCGAGGAGTGAGGGTCGTTTGAGTGCGGAGTCCGAAGAGGGGTAGCGTGCGCAGTGTGCTGGACTGGAGGGAGTTGTGAAACTGATTCAGGACGATTCCCGCAACGTTTTACTATGGTGTGATCAGTTTTTTGACATCCACCCTCCGAGGTGGGCATGGCAAACAGCGGAATTGGATGTGGTGTTCAACTGGCTTCGTCGACGAGCCCCTTTGTGCTGGATTTTCCTGGTGTGCGTTGTGGGACCCGTGAGGTCCTGGTGCGATTTTACCTCGATAGGCTCATGCACATGTACTCAGACTTTGAGTGAAGTGAGCTGCGTGTGAAGATTGTGTGCCCAGGACTTGACCATGCCCCTGTATCGCACAAGGTCTTTACTAGGAAACATGAATGGTACGACGTCCAACACCCCTGGTGCTAATGATGGATACATTCAGAACATTGGGGACAATAGCAATGTGGTTCACTTGCCTCCCTTGAAAGGACAGAATGGAGCAAATCAGAATGGTGAGGCAATGCAGGTGCAGCAGCTCAACATGTTCTATCAGGATGCAGCACAAACAAATGGTGATGCGCAGGCTGGACAGAATGGTCAAAACAATGACCAAGGCCAGACATTGCCTCATGTGCGACCAGGCACAACAACAACAGATGGGAACAGTCAGAGCACAAGTAGCCCAATGAAGAATGGGTCAGCTGCCAAGCCAAAAAATGTTGTAGCTACACCAGAACAGATTCTAAGGGTGTATAAAACAAAGTTGACACCCTATGAACAGCAAGAGATATACTCCTATCCAGAAATCTACTATATAGGAGCAAATGCCAAGAAGAAACCAGGTATCATAGGAAGTAGCAACAACTGTGGTTATGATGATGATCAAGGTTCATACATCCACATCATCCATGACCATGTCTCATACAGGTATGAGGTGCTGAAAGTGATAGGAAAAGGAAGCTTTGGACAGGTTGTGAAGGCATATGACCACAAGCATCACATACATGTTGCATTGAAGATGGTCAGAAATGAGAAGAGATTTCACAAGCAGGCACAGGAGGAGATCAAGATCCTTGAGCATCTCAGAAAACAGGACAAGTACAATACCTTCAACATCATTCACATGTATGATAACTTCACCTTTCGGAACCATATATGCATCACATTTGAGCTTTTATCAATCAACCTGTATGAACTCATCAAGAAGAACAAGTTCCAAGGTTTTAGTCTGCAGCTGGTGAGGAAGTTCGCACACTCACTGCTCCAATGCCTGGATGTGTTGTATAGGAACAAAATCATCCACTGTGATCTGAAGCCAGAAAATGTCTTGCTGAAGCAGCAGGGCAGGAGTGGCATCAAGGTAAGTTCAGTCAGTCTTTTCCATATCACCCTTTTCACTCAATTTATGCCAAGATGTGATGGGTAGTGTGTGGTTGGTGTGTGGCAGACTGACTACAAGTCAGCATTACAATTCCAAAATGAATCTTTTAGAAGCCTGTGCTGTAATGTTGAGGGGTGTGGATACTGGATATGCTTGTCTGTGCTTGGAGTGATACATACCAGCCCTAGATGTCATGTTCTTGTTAACATGTATCCCATTCCCAGAGTAGGTGCAATGCATACCTACTTTTTTGTTTTGAACTCAAAATTGTCTTTCAAACATTTAAGCCATTTAAAATGTACCCAGGCTGAACAATTAATGTCAATCCAAGATGCATTTCAGGTACAGTGGAGATTCAGCTATCATTTTCTGGCCATTGAAATGTGTTAGAAAGGAACCAGAAAAAGAGTAACAGTAAAAACTGGTAAATTGTTAAGCTGTTTGGGGCTTACTTTTAATGAAATCTGCATTTCAGTAATCAGGGTACATTGCTTTTTGGCAGTGGACAATAATCAAAACAGCAAGACATTGTTAGATTCTGTACAGGACTGTGGCTGTCATTTTGGATTTAGGTGAGATGGGAGAGATATACTGCAGAGCCATTGTTTTCTGAGTATCTACTTTCCCTTTTCCACCTGCACATTTTGTTGTACAAAGGGTGGTACAACTTGTTCACTGTTTGAATCTGTCTTGCTGTCAGACAATTGTGAGAGATATGAGCTGTGGGCTGTGAGTGGGCCATATTTCATGGTTTGTGCACATTGCACTGATCAAGTACTTCCCTCAGTGTGGTGCATGCAAATGCCTGTTTTTAGGTCGGTTCCCTTGTCTTAGTGAAGGTGGTGACTTTTCAAAATGTCTGATGCTCCTGGTAGTCTGCAGCGGAAATGGACATTGGACAATGCATCACAGTTCAGTCTCTAGGAAAAGGGCATAGGAATGTTGAATTTGGTCCGATCTTCCTAACTGCATATTCGTCAGGTACTTCTGCATTAGAATCAACTTGCGATGACCACCTTTTCCCGATTTATTATCAGCCAGCCATGTCATGTCATGATTAGTTTGGTTGAGTACTATGTGACACACCGGACCGTCCAGATCTAGTCATTTGTGTCGCCTGGTCCGGTCGAGTCCAGTCCATCCGGTGACCGCTAAGACTGGACGCCACACCGGCGCGGCGGCGCGCCGGCCGGAACGGCGGCTCGACAGCGGCGGTCAACGGCCGGCCGCGCTTCGTGGCCATGTGATTGTCCCGGGGCGGGGCTGCTCTCGGGCCCGCTGTCACGCCACGGCCGGCGGCGGCCTGTCCTGGCGGCCCGGCGCGCCACGCACCCGGCCGGCGCAGTCCAGTGATTTGGCCATCGATTGATGTGCCGGCACTGGACCCGGCCGCCGCCAGCCGCGACATCTGTCCTCAGTGATGCCGATAAGTTATTCAGGGCCAATCTATGCGCCGGCGAGTGGCAGTCTCCAATGAGAGTCGTGAGCGTGCCTGCGGTCGTGTTGTCCGCTGCGTTGCTGGGCAACAGCGCGGCAGATGAACCACAGCTAGATGCGCGTTCCGCGCTCAATACCTAGCGCTGCGTCGCAGTTTCTCCGTTGTCCGGGATCGGATCCGTGCCGGAGGCGGCGGCGGCATCCAGAGACCCGGGCACCCATCAGTCTCATCTTGCCCACGTCGCATATGCCCGCCTGCAGAGGTGGCCTCTGACAGCCCCAGCCTCGCTGTCCTCTGCTGCCGCGACGTCAGCGGCGGCGCGGTACCCGGTACCGGCCCAGTCACGTGGACAATGTGTCCTCGGCGGTGATCGGGCCGATTTCCGCCTGCGCCACGCCGCCGATCTGTTGCGGCGGCGGCGTTGTTGAGCGGGCCGCCAGCTCGGGAGGGCACCGGTGCCAGAGCGGCTGAGCGGCCCGCCCCCCGCCAGCTGACGGCGACACGGCTGACCGGCCGCGGTGGCGTGCCGGCCCGACCGACGGCGGCCCGTGCGCCCCGATTGGCACCGGCCAACCGGCAGCCGTCCCCAATCACCGACCGAGCCGAGCGGGATGCCACTAATGGTCATCTCAACGGGATTCAGTGTCTGTAACGAGGTTTGCAGCTCGTATGAGAGCATGCCTTACAAAAAGGCTTGCTCTTGACGTCGAATGTGACGTTCGGCTTTGTTCACAAGTGCGAGTTTGTTCGTCGATGTATGCGCCGGCTGCTCCCCCATCCGCGAGCGGCGTCCCTTCGCCACGGCCGTGTCAGCCGTCGGTGCGATGACTCCTCCCGTGGAAGCGAGCGGCTTTTTGTCCCCGTCTCGGAACGGGTTGTGGCTGTGCGAGCGCGACCGAAGGTCGCCGCGTGTGCGCGGCAGGACTCGGCGAGGCGAACAAAGCCCGCTGCGTTCGAGGAAGGCTCGCTGGAGCCCGTTATCCGCAGTTGTCTGATATCGGCTCTGATGGACATTACTAAATGTCATTGGTCGGACCGAGCTCACTCGGGTGGCGAGGTCTGACGCTTGATGCGGTATTGATGCGGTAGGGGTAGAATTCTGGAAAGTTGCGGTGATATTAGGATAAGTATCTCAATACCGACTCTTCGCTACTGGGCTTCCGTAGTCATTCTCACCATGATTGATTCGTTTCCTACTTCCCAATGTCTTTGAACTTCGAACAACTTCCATTCTACTTCTCGAAATCCGAACTACAATAGTGTGACGGATCAATTTCATTACCCCAAATGTCGGTCAAGCGTCAGACGAAAATGGGTCGCGTTCCTTCAATTCGTTTACATTTATTTCTTCCTTTGTTTCGTTTATAACTATCACTTATTGAGAACCTGTTCAGGAGAGTCACCCATTCGACTTTGACTAACTTATGCCTATCCAATACTTTCCAGCTCGTTAGTGTTGGAATAAGAATTAGCGCTATAACAATAAAGGATTAGCCCTGCCTAATGAATGAAGACACGTGTAATTACGTTAGCGGCTACCTGTCGATTGGGTACATAAGTGGTCGTTGTGTCCGACAAACCACTACATATGCACTACCTACTCTTTCTTTCGTTTTTGTTCCATCACCAGACATACTTGACGCTCTCTCGTCTCGCTAACCTGTTCGGGGTCTGTATCATTGACTGACGTTCACTGACTGACGGGTTCACTGGCCCCCCGAAGCTGCACGCGCCTCAGAGTGGGCGTAGTGCGGGTACAGCGCTCGTCGCGCGGCGATGATGGAAACCAGAGCCGACGGCCCACCAGGCCACGTGCCAGCCGACCCCCGCCCCGCCGCGGACGCTCGCACGGGACCCGTCATGTCAACACGGAAGGAAGCAGCCCATGCAGCACGTGACTGACGGACGGGCTGCCTCTGGGTCAGGTACCGCTCCGCTGGGCGGCGACCCGACTGACATGCCGACACGTGCGATCGGAGATTTATTACGGGGATTGACCACTTGACCAGGGATTGCTTGCATTTATTGGATATATTTCTGAGGCACGAGAAGAGAAGGACGACTTGTAGTGGTGGTTGAAGAAGGACGTTTATAAGGGGAATCGTACACGTAGGAAAGCAGGAAATTGAAGCCAGTGCGTGTCATCGAAGTTCGGCACAGTCTGTCAGAAAATTCTAACACAGTTTTGTTCAGTTCGCCGGCTGCCGGTACAGCGGCTGTGCTGTCCGTTCGCGGTGCCGGCGGCGGCCGATTTTCACCGCGCCGGCCGCCGGCCGATCCCGTTGTCTCCGAGCTCGGCCGGTTTACATTGAGCCGCGCCGGCCGGTATCCGGGATGTGCGGCCGAGCGAGACGAGTGCCGCTCTCAGAAGGCCCGGCGCCCGGCCAGGCTGTGCTGCAGACTTGGCGCGATGTCTGGTTATGTCTGCGCGGGCACTGAGCACGCATAGGGCGTGGTGATTCCCGGGTGGGTGGACGCTGTCAGCTCTGTAACCCTGTTCTGTGTGGTGTGGCCGACCCATCGGTGACAGCGCCCATCCCACCACGCAGCGCGGCCCCACCGTACCGCAGTGTGCCGGAGCGGCGCTAACGGCCGCTAATCGTCGCCGCGCGGCCGACCGGGCCGGCGGACCGCACCGCCTTCTGTCGGCCGGCCCGGCTGTGACTGATGGCTGCTGTGTGACCGCGCCTCCCGCCCGCACCGTCTGTGTGTGTTCGTGTCCGACCGTGACACGCCGCGCGCGATGGCGGCTCGTCCGTCTCCCGGCCGTCAGCTGCGGCCAGAGCGGGTTGGCCGCCGCTCGGCAGCGCCGTTAGTGACCTGCAACAGATGGCCGTCGGGCCCGGCTTTGGTCAGGCTAGTGACCGACTGCGCTGCGCATGGAGAGAGAGAGAGAGAGAGAGAAGAGAGAGAGAGAGAGAGAGAGAGAGAGAGAGAGAGAGAGAGAGAGAGGAGAGAGAAGAGAGAGAAAGAAAGAGAGAGAGAGAGAGAGAGAGAGAGAGAGAGAGAGAGAGAGAGAGAGAGAGAGATAGAGAGGAGAGAGAGAGCGAGAGAGAGAGAGAGAGAGAGAGAGATAGAGAGAGAGAGAGAGAGAGAGAGAGAGAGAGAGAGAGAGAGAGAGAGAG